GTAAAGTTTCTGCACACACTTGCTCCTTCATGATAGCACCATGCCAGGCTCGTGCATGTCAGTGCCTTAAAATCCATGTACAACTGGGCAAATATTAGCAGTAACAAATGTGACCAACACAATGACAGTAACCTATGCTTAAACTAATATTTAAAAATAGATTTCCTTATGGCAACCTAAAAATTTGCACCTTGAAGAACTGAATTTGTAACCAAATTGACCTCCCCCCCCACACCCGTTACTCTGATTTGATGATTCGTTAAATCATTTTCCCCAAACAGGTAGCCAAAAATCAGTAACACAAAAATACATAAATTGTTTTTAAATCCTTCAACTTTATTGCATGTATCCCACAATAAACAATCAATTTTTATGATAAGATGTATGTTTTAGCTCAGTTTTTAAATTAGTTTTGTCATTTTTTTCTCATCTCAGTAATTCTTGCCCTGGATTTGATTAAATACTTTTATTACAGAAAGAAATGGTAATTACCCCAAAGGCAAAATTGGCGGTTTAGACAATGAAGCAGTATAACTTTAGTCTGTCTTCAAACTTATTTTAAAAATTGGATAAAATTAATATTTTATGATAATGAGTTTGTGAAAATGACCAATATACATACTCAAAGTCACCCTTTATGTTAATTCTACAATAATTTGGGGATTCAACATATATATATTTATGATTATACGTTTCAATAATAGTTTAGATTAATCACAGAAAACTGCATAATTATTTTTTTAACTGATTCCCAGCCCTAGATTTTACCCAAATGCTCTGAGTCTGAGTCATATCCCTGAGACTACCGATTTATTCATTGCAAAATTTACTTACATGCAAATCTGCACAATCTTCCCCCTCCCACTAATTAGGCAGATAACTATTTGTTTCTGTATGTCTTAATGTCCATACCTAAAAACTTAGTTCATATTACTTATATTCTTTATATGTCTAAATATTTATATTATTTTTTCTACTTTCTCCTTTGCACTATGACTAACAAATGTCTGTGACATAACAGTAAGTAGTATAACAGACACACCAATGGTATAATTCAGTAACTACCATGTAATGTCATACAGACACATACATATACACAAAGAGAACCCACTATAATTTTCTTTTAATATGAAATGATACTGCTACCTGTTTTTGACTGTACACAAACAAGTTGCAGTTAGCTGACAAACAAACTGCTCCACAGGAGCAGGCTATACATAAAATAGGTATAATGTACCAGATTCCAACTTTATGAAAATTAAACACTAGCAAACAAACAAGAAGATATTAGCATTTTAACTTTTAAAATAAACATATAATTACTATAAGGCTAGACTAGTTAAGTTGAACATGCATACAAATGACAATGAAGTTGACAAAAAAAAAATGATACTGATGTATTCCCCAGACAGCACCCTCACCCCATCTCCCTCATCTAATCAGTATTCTTCATAGATCCTCCTACCACAATCTGTAGTCCTACAGTAGGCTTGGGTTGCATCTAATACTTCGTATATTCATGCAAGGGGGATTTTGACCAAAAAAAATCCCACAGTATACAAATAATATTACTGTAAATCTGCTCAAGCTTACCCTACACACTCGCTGCATCTATCGTTGTATATGCTGACTAGGACAAGGCCTAAATGACATGACTGAGTTCCCTCATGATAAATTTTAATGAGCGGGGGGGATTCGCTCACAATAATTGTAGTCGAACACAAACATTACTGTAATATCGCCCGAGCCAACCCTACACACTCTCCTAACCTCTCCCAAAAATATTTATTAAAACCCCATCCATGCTAAATTTCTACTGATAAAATGTGCTTAATTTTTGAGTTACTGTGCTAAGAAGAAGTGTCCATCACTATGTGGTGCTGTTTCAGATTTGGAGTGAGCCATTTCATAACTTGATCACTCCCAATTCCTTAACCAAAGTTTGAAAAATACTGGTCAAATAGTTTTTGAGTTCTCATTAATGAGAAAGTGTGTTTGGCAATAATGGTTCCAAACCAATACAGTGGTACCTCAGTTCTCGAACTCATTAGAACTCAAATTTCTTAAAAATCAAACCAACCAGTTAGAAAAAAAAAATGACCTAGAACTCAATCTGAATCTCAGAAGTGGAACCGTTGTGATAGCATTGTGCATGTTTAGACTAGCCGAACACATATATTTAGACAGTAAAAATGATAGTAACAGTAATTATTGTTATATAATAAAATACATTTAAAAATAAAGATTTCTTATTAATTATTTAATTTCATTAATAATAAACCATTAATACATTTAATTATAATAATATTGCCCTGCCAAGCAAGGACGGAACGGAGACAAAGGCGCGTACATCAGGGTATCAGGGAATACGGGGTTTAATTACAGGTAAGGCAGGCAAAACGCAGACGGACAATACAATGACCGGACTGGAGAAACAAACTGAAACGCGGACTAAATAATGAGGACTAATGACAACAACCAGAAACAGCTGATCACCCGGGGAATCCACACCAGTTAACGAGGGGGCGTGGCACACGGAAGGAGCGGACGATCAGGGCAGGACACATTGTTTGTTTGTTTTTTAACTTTAAATTGTTTGGATACATTTATTTTCTTACTTTACAAATTTCTGTTTTGATAAATGTGCTTAGATGTGTTTAGTACAGTATATGCTCTTCATGTTTTATCCTGTTCATTCTGTGTTTAAATGCTAAAAAAAAAAACATATTTAGGTGTAATTTTTTTCAGCCATTTAAAAAAAAAAAAAACTAGCAGGCATATATATTATTGATCAAATATTTAGTTATACATTTCTTTTAATAATTTTTATTTAATATTTCTTAATTTCACCCCGCCAGCAGTACAGTATGGAGGGCTAAGAGTGCCAAAATTAAATAAATAAATACACCAATAATTAATTAATTAAATGTGCCATGAATTGTTTGAAATGGGAAATATAAAGATAAATTATTACTTAAATGTGTCATGAATTATTTAAAATGGGAAATAAAAATATCGTTAATTAAATGTGCCATTAATTATTATCTACCATTAGAAATAAAATCATTATTAATTAATTACATGTGTCATTTACAATTATTTCACTATTTATTTAATTTTGGCACTTTTGGCACTTTCACCACATC